ACACCTGTGGTCAAAAGATAATTTATGCAACTTATAGTAGGCAGAATAATGGCCACTCAAAGATATCCCAGCCCCCACCCTCATCTCTGGAATCTGTAAATATGTTAGGTACATGGCAAGGGGGGTAATTAAATCTGCTAATCAACTGACCTTAAAATAGTGAGACGATTCTGGATTATCCAGGTGAGTTCAATGTAATCACAAGGGTCCTTAAAAGTAAGAGTTCAAAATGATAGGAGCTGAGAAGGACTCAAGCCCTAGCTGGTTTGGCTCAATGGACAGAGCACAGCCTGCAAACTGTGCTCTGGGTTTGATTGTGGTCAAGGGCACATGCCTGGGCTGGGGGCTCAATCCCCAGTAGGGGGTGTGCAGGAGGCAGCCAATCAATGATTCTTTCTCATCATTGATGTTTCCATCTCTCTCTCCCTCTCCCTTCCTCTCTGAAATCAATAGAAATATATATTTTTTTAAAAAAACTCAACCCACTGTAACTTAATTTGAAGATGGAGGAAGGGGGCGATGAGCCAAGACGTGGCCTCTAGAAGCTGCAAAAGTCACAGAAACAGATTCACCCCTAGGACTTCTAAAAGGAAACACAACTCTGCCAACACCTTGATGTTAGCCAGTGAGGTTTGTGTTGGAAATCTAACCTGAAGATCTCTAAGAGAATGAAGTTTTGCTGTTTCAAGTCACTAAATTTATGGGCTACTAATACAAATACCTATCCTCTTAAGGTCCCAGGAGCAGAGTATGGAGATCAGGTTGACTGGTATATGTTTTTGTAATGTGTGGGAAAAGCCCACCGCAGGATCTGTAAAAACTCCTTATTAGATATTATTTCAGCCCTAGGAAACCCCTTCTTTATCACCCCCTTCCAAGTAAAGGATCTGTAAGAACCCCAATGAACTGGATCCCTTCTGGAACACTTGCTGAGAGGGAATGAGATTCGGCTGGAAGTGCTTATATTAGGGCACATAAGAAAATGTTCAAAAGATCTAGCTGTACTCCTTACTATCTGAAACATCCAAGTCTGTTGAAGAGAAGGTTTAACACCACCAGATTCTCTAACAAAAATACCAGGGGAATTACAGAGAAAGTTCTTCCTCAGATGGAATCTATTGTTTTATCACCAAGCTATCACAGAGCACTTTGTTTAAATAGATGGTCCCGTGCCTAATGTAGTGGTTCTGACTGAGTCCTGCTCATTAACTGGGAATAATTAAAAATATGCTCACTCAGGCCCAAACTTGGAACAATTAAAACAGAATTTCTGAGAGTTGGGGCCCACACTCCAGTTTTGTTTTTGTTTTTTTGAAGCTCCCTAGACAGTTCCGATGCATAGTTAAGGTTGAGAACTCCTGACAAAATGGTTGTGTATGTCAGAAACAATTGATTTTAAAATAAACAAGTTCTCATGAAGGAATAAGGCAGTGTACAACATTACAGATCCAAATGTGTACTAGTAAGTAGACTTGTTCCTGCCCACTTATAAGATCCTTGAGATAATCCCCATGTAGGAACTAATACACTACCATAAAAGGATTTATGATTTATTTATAAAAGGATCACAGGAAGCACAGATAAGTGATTAACAGACTGTGACTATTGTCTCTCATTCTCAGAGTCTATGTGCCTCGTTTTATATATATTTTTTTTTACAGAGAGGAAGGGAGAGAGATAGAGAGCTAGAAACATCAATGAGAGAGAGACATTGATCAGCTGCCTCCTGCACACCCCCCACTGGGGATGTGCTCGCAAACAAGGTACATGCCCTTGACTGGAATCGAACCTGGGACCCTTCAGTCCGCAGGCCGACGCTCTGTCCACTGAGCCAAACCGGTTAGGGCAGTCTGCGTGCCTCTTTCCAAAATTAGGCTATACATCTGCAGTGAGAGAAGAAAATATATGCCTGTAAAATCTCTTGTGAAAAATTCCATTTAGTTTAGAAAAGTTTTTGCTTCTTTTTCAACATTGTTTTCTTAAAAAATAATCTAAGAAACTTGTTCAACAGTTCCCAAGTAAAATAAAATAATATTGTGCTTGGAATTACGACGACTCTGCTAAATCTACCTTGGTAAAAGTAAGGAAGCTGTCATAAGAAGTTTGACTGCATCATCACCATGGTCATAATACCAGGTCTGAAGCCCAGGACTGTATTGTTTGAGAATACTCAATTCTTCCCTGGAAGAAAAAATAAATAAATAGAATCGACAAAACTCAGGTGTTAAGCATGGATAAGTTAAATATCTGTGAGACATAGTAGACACATAAAGTTAGTAGGGCATATACTTGTGAACATAGAAAATGCTGAAATGAGAAAAAAAATGCTGAAATGACCAAGAGATACCTAATATTCATGAGGCACTAAACATACAAGAGGCACTAATATTCATTAAACATTATATATTCAATATATAATTAAGGAATATATAATTAAACCAAATATTTATGGGACATCCAACATTCACAGGCCTTAGTTCTGCCACTCAGTGGTGACAATCATACTGTGTCCCACACGCTCTGCTCAAGAAGTGCAAAACCTGCACTTGCTCAACAGGTTACTTGGCAAGCTACATCTGTGGCCAGATATTCTTGCCCTGAATCCCTCCAATAGAGTCAGAGTGTGTCATTGGCACTTCCCATCCTTGGTCGCTTGCTCAAACCCCAACTCTGGTCCAATTACAATTGCATCAACAGGAAGGCCAATGTGCCAACAAGAGAGACAGGAGATAAGAACATTGCATAATCACAGGTTTCAATTCAAATCTTTCCATCTCATTTGTACTCTGTCGTGTATTTTCTTTCTCTTTGCTTCTCATGATGTTTTAGCGTTTCTTTACATGACTTCTAGGATAGCTCATCAGGTAGTATATATGGAGGGTCTCAATGCATGGAGGTAATTTCTCAAAAACATGAAGCAGGTAATATTTGGGTATTACTCAGGACTGTATGTTATAAAAAATTATTTAAAAAAATTTTTGATTGTAGAGAGGGAGAGGGAGAGATAAACATAATTCGGTTGCCTCCCATAGGTACCCAACCTGAGCACGTGCCTCAACTGGGAATGGAATTGGCAACCTTCCGATGCATGTAACTAGCTCAACCAACTGAGCCACACCGGCCAGGGCAATACAAGATTTAAAAAAAAAAAATTCTTTTACCTGATATCCTATAATTTTCAAAGCTTTACACTCAAAAAAATATCTCTCTTTGAGTGTACATTTTCCTGGCAACAAGAAACAATCCCTAATTTTGGCAGGTTCTAAGATATGTCCTTAGAAGGCCTTTTAATCTTTAGGCTTTCCAAAAAATTAGATTAACAGTTTTTAGAATATTTATTATAGTGGGTATAGTTTATTTTAATTGCAAGAAGCTGAATATCTTGATCCTGGAAAGGTCACTTGAAAGGCCCCGATTACTGTACATACTGGATGACTAGACCTCATTGTTCCAGGATTAGTAGCAAGAACTTTTGGTGTTTTTTGCCAACTTGTTTAAGTGGCCTAACCTGAGATTCAGAGTTAGGGAAACCTACTGCATAAACCCCTGTATTTTATGTGAGGCTAGTGACAGGGAAGGGCAAAGGGGGTTCTGAAATAAAGTTACACTGAGAAAAAACCGACTCATGGGTTGGTGGTGGTCCTGAATCAGAAAGTGAATGTGAATTGAGTGACCTGAATCTGCGAGGTTATCAGCGAGTGGAAACAGATGAGCTGAAAAAGGGAGTGCTCAAGCCTCTTATGGCATAAAAACCCTCTTGGGTGAGGGTATCACAAAGGAGATTTCCTTTTCTCAACCCCCACGCCCCCCTCCCCAAAAAACCCCACCCCCCAACACA